GTGGAGATATGTCACATAGCATGTGGAGCCAGGCCGGATTCACGCCACACGCTAAACATTTGGGGAAAAGCTACCTAGTCCTCAGCGTATGACCGCAGTTGAGCCCAACCTTTATGTTGCTAAGCGGGGCAGTCGTTAAGAGAATTTTGCCCCTTTTGTATGACTTTTCTTGCCACAGTTGCATCTGAATTTGGATCATGTGACTATGGAGACGTTGCAATGGTCGTAAGTGTGAAAAAGTCACTTTTTTCAATGCCCTTGTAAGCTTCGGTCACTAAATGAACTCTTGTAAGTTGAGCACTACCTGTGTTGACAATTCTTTGTAAGGTGCATAGGACATAGACCACAATCCGGGCCTTCACAGCGGTGGAGCACCCTCCCTCTATAAATACAGATGTCCTGATCCAGCTTACATCTCAAAAATCAAAGCAAAAGCACAAATCAAACTGCGCTGTTGGCCCTCAGCTGTTTTCAGAGGCTCCATTTACGTGGTTTTTATCTAGCATTACCTTTTCCTTAAACGTTTCTTTAACCTGCTGCTATTTTGAAATTGCCATTTTTCTCATCTCTGAAAGCCCCTCCGGTTTTATTTATGGGTATTTTGCCGACTTTCAAGTTGTTTCCATTACTGGTTTTGTTTTATGTTGTTTTCTTCTCTATTAGATTGTTTTACCGGTTGTTGTAAGCTATCCTGGGAGGATAATTTCGCTTGAACGGTGGCTTAAAAGCTCTATATTAAAATGCTTGTCGGTTGTGGGAAAAAAAAAACAACCTCATCCAGGATCAGAGATTGAATGGGGCTGAGTGCAAGATACTAGGAGAATAAAAGCATTCTTCTCTGGCTCGCTGATGGGTTACCCAGAGATTTTGCTTTGGCTACGGTAGGACACACAAAACTTCCTCCAATTTCCTCCAATCTAGCGGAGTTGTACAATTCTCAGTCCTCGCCTATATTTATCCTTTCCCCCTTTTTCCTCTCATCACAGCGATGGTGCTTCAGCATCACATGCTCAACACACTGTAGTCATGCCGTGGTGCAATTAGGTAATTTTAGACTCGGGAGCTGATTATCTTATGCCCTCAGCTTCTCCCGAGACGTTAATTATTCTGATGCATATTTATTTCTCCTCCAAACAAATCATGTTTTAGGATGCAATCTAGGTCGGTCACCAGGACCAGAGGTTTTGTCTTCTGAGGTTTTGGACTTGTGCTGGACCCCATCTTCAGGGAACTTCTCTCTAACAGTAGCATGGCATTTGCTACTAAGATTGTTGGCTGAGCAGGTACAAAGACAGCCGGGGAAATGATTGAAGCCTGGGAAACGGGCCCTTTGTCAATCAACAGGAGTGCTGATTTAACCACCAGTTTATCTGGTACTTAGGAACTGAGTAATGACTTAACAGCCGGCCACCAACACCCCAATCAGCAAATAAAAAGCCACAGGCAGCCAGGCCTCACGTAAATACTACACATAGAATAGCCCAAAACATACATTTTGGTAGAGAGAAGTTCCCTAAGGATGGGCTCCAACACGAATCCACAAGCTCGGAAGGCTAAACTTCTGGTCCCAGTGACTGATCTAAATTGGATCCTGCGAAATTATCCTGGGATCTGTACTGTACATTTGCCTTCCTTTGTGAAATAATGTTTTCCAGCAAGCCGTTCCTCAGTTAAAACGCACGGGGGAAGTTTTGATCTGCCCAGACTTCAGTTGAAATAACAGCTTCGGTTTGCAATATTTCTATCGCTAGCTCTGGAAACAATTCTGCAGAATTTACTCTGATCCCCTTCCTCATTCTGACAGTCTGGAATAACCCTTCCCTGGAAAATGGAAGATTCTGATTATTATTATTATTTATTTTATTTTTATTTATTAAATTTATATACCGCCCTATCTCCCTTGCGGGACTCAGGGCGGTGAACAGGCGATACTAAAAACCACGAATAAATAAATAATTTCTGTTTTAAAATCGAATTGATTGTGAAAGAGGTTGGGATAGGCCTCAACCAGACAGCTTCCCGTAAGATCGGAAAGGCTAAATGTTTTTGCCAAGGGTGCTCCAAAGCCAGAACATTTCGGGAGCAGACTATTTTGCTGCGGCAGGGGTCTAGTCCATGGGGAGGAAGGCACACCCGAGTGTATGAACATGTCTATCTAGAATGCCTGCTTCAGTGATGGTTGAAGGCCTTGCAGTCTGGCAAAGAAATGGATTTTGTGTTTTGTGCCTGGACAAGCTATAGCCATTAGACCTGGTTTGTGAATGGATGAGAATGAATAGGAGAAGGGATGTAGGTCTTTGAGACAAATGTCCAGTCACAATAATTAAAAAAACCCAAGAACTTTTTAACAGAGATATTTTAGTACATACTCTGGTGTTGTTGTTGTTTTAAAAAACATCACTCTTCCAAAGCTGATCACTGTCCTATAAAGCAGGGGTCCCCAACCCCCGGGCTGTGGACCAGTACCGGGCCGCAGCAGGCCAGCAACCGGTCCGCACAAACAAGCAAAGCCCCATCTGTGGGATGCAGGCAGCACAGAAAACCACGCACCCTCCGGTCCGCGGAAAAACCTTCCTCCACGGATCCAGTCCCTGGTGTCCAAAAGTTTGGGGGACCTCTGCTATAAAGAAATTGGGTGGTTTAAACCCATGGAGGAAGGACTGAGAACCAAATTAAGGTGCTGGGCAGAAAATTTGGTCTCCAACTAAGAAACAGGTTAATTGGAATATGAAAGTTTGGGTTTATTCTTTGATTACGATTCATGGTTTGTTAGCAGATGAAAAGCCAAGCATTCTAACTTGGTCAAATTGAGGAGGGGAATGACATCTTTACCTTCCTAATTCGTTATTGGCTTTCCCTGACAAAAGAGGGCAAGGCCCCTAGAAGTGTTTCTGCTGGCCTTTTGTTTTCCCGTGAAACTCCACTCAATTAAATGTTTGTTCATTTGTTATCATTTTATATCAGGACCTAATACAGTTTTGTTCGTAATCCATTCCCTTAACCAAATAGCCACTCTCATTTTTGCAAACTGCTTTGCAAAGGCTGTTTACTTTAAAAAAGAAGATAGATCTACTGAAAATTTGTCAACAAGGCTTTTTTTTTTTAAATTATATTTATAAATCCCCTCTCTACTTTGCTGGTGAAGTGTGATAAGCAGATTGTGTGAATAGGGCTTAGGTATCCGATGGAGGAGGACTGTCAGGTGCGTGAAGAAAAAAAAAGTTCTCATTAAATATGGAAATAGAATTGAGAAAGCTGATAAAGTTACAAGGCCTCAGTTCTCACTGTGACCTTTGCAGGCGCCACGTACCCGCCGATACATAATTTGGAGTCTGTTACCCTCCATGCCCTACCTAATTTTATTATTTTCTAAAGTCTCCTTTAATTTAAAAGAAATAATTGGGAAGCTAGCACGAAACCAATCTAACTGCCAGCCTCAAGCATAACATTTTATTTCTCATTAGGTTTCCGGAGTTTGCTTATATTTCGTGCACATTTCTTTAAAATAATACTGATGGTGTGCAACTGGGTTGTGCTCACGCGTGTGTCCAGCATCTTCACCTCTCAGCAAAGAGGCACGAACTGAATTGGATAGCCAGTTTGGTGTAATGCTGAAGGTGCTAGCCTAGAAACCAGGTGACTGAGTTCTAGTCCCACTTTAGCTTTGAACGGTGGCTGGGTGACTGAGTGCAGTCCCTCTGCCTCAGCCCTGCCCAACTCACAGGGTTGTTGCTGTTTGTAAAAACAGGAAGAAGAAGGAGCATCGTGTATGTTTGCTGCTTTGAGTAATGTATAAAGTAATAACGATGGGGTAAAAAGCTAATAAATAAAGAAATACGTTGGCAGAGCTCAAGTGAAAAGACTCTGGTTGAAGTCCTCCCTCAGCCAAGAAGCTGTCTGTGGGACTTTGGATCAGTCCCTTCCTCTGAAGGCAAATTCCAAGTGATCCATTGGAGAAGGGGCTGGACTAGGACTGGGGGGTCCCAGGTTCTGGTCCTCCCTTTGGCATGGGAGCATTCTGGATCATCTCCATCAACCTCAGCATCAGTGTGTAGTAGGGCTGAAGGTGCTAGAACCAGGTCCTAGTCCCCCCTCAGCCACAGAAGCATCTGGAGGACTTAGGGCCCTCTCTCACGTCAAGACGCAGAATGCTGTTGAACTAGGAGCAGAAATCCCCCACGTTCTCATCCTCTAATGAACAGCAGGAATAACCTTGAGGTACAGGAGGAACAGATCCAACCAAGGCAATGTTTGAAATCTGAATCTGGGGCAGAACCATGATTAGAGTCAGTGTCTCAGACATGACCCTTGCCAGTTCTCATTGGTGGGAGTGGGTCGATGGGCAGGGAGCACGTTCAGACTTGCAAGATTTTGCGACTCCAACCCTATAAACCAAGTGGTGTTGGCATTCATGTCTCTGGTCTCCCAATCTGGCCTTTGACCCCTCCCTTGGGCTCAGCCTGGTCATCTCCTACAGCTGAGCTGGTCGGCTGGAAAGCCGACAGCCCGGGTTTGAGACCCCAGCACTGCGTGATGCGTGAGTTCCCGTCACTAGCTCCAGCTCCTGCCAAACCTAGTAGTTTGAAAGCGTGCAAATGTGAGTAGATCAATAGGTACCACTTCAGTGGGAAGCTTGTCCAAAGATGCTTCTGTGGCCATGTGGCCGGCACAACTGTCTGCCAGAGGTGCACGGAGCGCCGTTATCTTCCCACCGAAGTGGTACCTATTGATCTACTCACATTTGCATGCTTTCAAACTGCTAGGTTTGGCAGGAGCTGGAGCTAGTGACGAGAGCTCGCACAGACACGATTGGGCAGGAAAACCTTTATCTTTACCTTTTTTTGCATATACACTCATTCACTCAACATTGGCTACCCACATAATAGGACAGCGGGGAGGGAAACATAGGAAACTTGTGCTTGGGGTGGCAGGGAATAATCGCCTTCGTTCATCCCGGCTTCTCCCCTAACCCTCCCTCTCCTTCTCTTTTTCAGAGTAAGCTGGTGAAATACTTCAGCCGCCAGCTCTCCTGCAAAAGGAAGGTGTCTCTGCAGGAGCGAAATGCCAAGCTGGAGGGCTTCCCACAGCTCTGGCACTGGTTCCGCATCGTCAACATCCGCAAGGAGGTCATGGAGGTGAGCGAGACCTGGATGGCAGCAGTTCCTGCTTCCTGTTTCCCTCAACATTCCTAGTTCCGGTTGCTCTTCTTCCCTCCTTGCCCCATCAGTCCATCCTTACAGCCTAATTAGAGCTGCCAGCTTAGGGTCGTGTTCTCTCCTCCAGTTGACTTAATTTGTTTTTGAGAGATCTTTGATACTCCCTGAGCTTGGCTGTTTTCTTGCAGATGTTTCTTTCTCCAACTCGGTAGCTGAGCAGCTCTTGTGATGTCACCTAATTTGGGTAATGAAACGTCTGCAAGAAAACATATAAGGAACCATGGCTGGAATTGGGTATGTCTAGTCTAATGAAGAGAAGGGACATGATAGCAGTCTTCCAATATCTCAGGGGCTGCCCCAAAGAAGAGGGAGTCAAGCTATTCTCCAAAGCACCTGAAGGAAGGATGAGAAGCAATTGGTGGAAACTAGTCAAGGAGAGAAGCAACCTAGAACTAAGGAGAAACTTCCTGATAGTTAGGACAATGAACCAGTGGAACAACCTGCCTCCAGAAGCGGTGAATGCTCCAACACTGGAAGTTTTTAAGAAGAGATTAGGCAGCCATTTATCTGAAATGGTATAGGGATTCCTGCCTGAGCAGGGGGTTGGACCAGATTACCTCCAAGGTCCCTTCCAACTTTATTATTATTATTATTATTATTATTATTATTATTATTATTATTATTATTATTATTATTATTATTATTATTATTAAAACAACCAAACTCAGTACCAAGGACTCCACAGTCCTCTTCCCCCTCCTCTCCGCAAACCCCACTCCCTTCTAGCACTGATGATGTTACCTAGTTAGGTAATGAAACATACTAACCTTGAGTTGAGAAGATTAATGTGGGCGTGAAAGACCAGGTCCACGCAAGCAGGTCCAGTTAAACTGATGTATTGCTACTCAGGCCTATGCACAGGAATTACAGGTTTAGAAACATCATCAGCATCATCATAAAGTTGGAAGGGACCTTGGAGGTCATCTAGTCCAACCCCCTGCTCAGGCAGGAAACCCTATACCATTTCAGACAAATGGCTGTCCAGTCTCTTCTTAAAAACTTCCAGTGTTGGAGCATTCACCGCTTCTGGAGGCAGGTTGTTCCACTGGTTAAATTGTCCTCACTGTCAGGAAGTTTCTCCTTAGTTCCAGGTTGCTTCTCTCCATGCTTAGTTTCCATCCGTTGCTTCTTGTCCTGCCTCCAGGCGCTTTGGAGAATGAAATGTAAATAAACAAATAATGTAATAATAAGAATAACCCTGTGAACTGTTTACCCAGTTTTTATTATAAAGCATCCATTATTGCTGTAATTCTTGTAAAACCTCTGTAAATTCTTGATTGTGGCAACATACAAATATGATATAGAAACATAGATAAAAAGGACCTGATGTTGATTGATGGCTTCCCAGAAGCTATAACACAGATAATTGGAGAAGGGCAGAGAGAAAAACAACGTGGACAATCTCATTGAGACAAGAATGAAAAATGCTTTTATTTAAATACCAATCTAAAACAATTCAGTACATTTCATTGATATTCCCCATATATTGAGCATTAACAATTTATGTCACATTAACAATTTCAGTTCTCCACAACTTTTCAGATATGTTATGGGCTGTATGCAACTCTGGATAAAGATGTAAATTTCTAGGTTCATTTCTTTTCCTGCAGAGGAAGGAGACAATTCTTAAATCAGGGGTAGTCAACCTTGGCTCTTTTATGCTGGCTCAGGAATTCTGGGAGTTGAAGTCCATGAGTCATAAAAGAGCCAAGGTTGACTACCCCTGTCTTAAATGGTGTATTTTTTCAAGTGCATGATTGCAACAGAAACACAAGAGGGCAGCAGTGCTCCATCTTACTGAAGGTTGCAGGGAGGAGACAGACAAACAGACAGACAGTCTAGGGAGGGAGAAAGAGGGAGAGGAAGAGAGAAAGAGAAAGAGAAAGAGAAAGAGAGAGAGACTAATTTTTACAGCTCCAAATGAGGGGTTTGCATTATGATGTTCATCATAATAAGAGTTACTTGTGCAAGTGGTACAAGGAAGAGCAATCTACTGAGTAAAATTGTGTGGTTATTAGTAAAATTACATTTTCTCTCTATCTGAAGTCTACCCATTGTTGCATCAAACTCTGCCTTTTGCAATTTCTCAAGTTTTCTTTTGTTACGAAAGAATCTTCTGTTTTTCTATGTGATTTTCAGGGTAACTGAATTTATTTTGAATTTCGCTCGGTGGTCCTTTGAGAGCTGGCTTTAGAGGTGATGGGAAGTACATCTGTTGGTATTCCTATTTTGGGGGGGACTATTTTCCCCCCATCTCTTTGGAAACTCCTGGCTGCCCAGATTTCCCATCCTGAAAAGCCAACAGAAGAGAATATTTCTAGTTCAGGGTTGAACTACGGAGTTCTTGGTTCTCTCTGAGCTTAGTAATTTTTTTGCAGATTTTCTGGCTAACTTTCTAACTATGCAGACATTAATCATGTTGATCAGCCATCAAGAGACACATAAACCATGTTTACATACTGTAACTGTCACAAACGTGAGTCAGTTGTCAAACATCCAACTGTAAATCCCTGTTGCAGGTGTCCTAAGTGTGAAAAATGGTCCTTTTTTCAGTGCCGTTGTAACTTGGAACGATCACTAAGTGAACTGTTAGTAAGTCAAAGACTAATAGCCGTATTCCATGTTGCAACCTTGTTTTGCAGGACTCTTTTCACCCATTAACGTTCCTCACAGGGGCGAGTTTTAGCCGGTGAGCCCCCCCCCTCCGTTGCTAATCTCCCTAACTGATTAAATCTCCTTACCGGCTCTTTCTCTCTCTTCCTTTAGGAAATCGCCTCTGGGCAACTGAGTCTGGAAGACCTTTTAGAGATGACAGACGAGCAGGTCTGCAAGACGGTGGAGAAATTTGGGGCTAACTGGGAAGAATGCGCCCGACTCAACGCCTCGCTCTCCTGCCTCCGGAACGTGTACAAGTCAGGTGCGGGAGAATCCAACGGCCTTCCCTTTGGTCAAACCCCGGTGTCTGGCTCTGCTGTGCAGCTCCAGCACCCTGTCCAGCATTGTTCATAATAATAGTAATAGTAGTAATAGTAATAATAATAATAATACAAAGACCTACAAACAAAAATAGAACGACTGTGGCAAAGGCAAGCCAGGGTGGTACCAATAGTAATAGGCACCTTGGGTGCAATCCCAAAACAACTGGAGCACCACTTGAACACCATCATCGGCATTGACAAATTCGCCATTAGTCAATTGCAAAAGGCGGCCTTACTAGGAACTCTTCCATCCTGTGACGAGATCTGTAATACCATCAAACATCCACATCTGCCTATCCCAGGTCCTGGGTAAGGACTCGATAGGTAGACAAAAATGCCAAATCCAGTCTGAACATCTGGCTGACTGTGCGATGTTCAATAACAACAATAATAATAATAATAATAAAGTTGGAAGGCACCTTGGAGGTCATCTAGTCCAACCCCCTGCTCAGGCAGGAAACCCTATACCATTTCAGACAAATGGCTGTCCAGTCTCTTCTTAAAAACTTTCAGTGTTGGAGCATTCACCGCTTCTGGAGGCAGGTGGTTCCACTGGCTAATTGTTCTTACTGTCAGGAAATTTCTCCTTAGTTCTAGGTAGCATCTCTCCTTGATTGGTTTCTATCTGTTGCTTCTTGTCCTGCCTTCAGGCGCTTTGGAGAATAGCTTGACTCCCTCTTCTTTGGGGCAGCCCATGAGATATTGGAACACTGCTATCATGTCACCCCTAGTCCTTCTCTTCCTTCAGCTAGACTTGACCCAGAAATTTCTTTTTGGACCCAGTCCAAATCAGTAAATCACAACCAAAAAAGCCACATTGTAGGCTGCATGCCTCTGATGAAGTGACCTAACTAGAGCATCTACCTTTTAATAAAAATTGTTCATTTGGAAAGGTTTTTTAATAGCCATTAGACTCTGCTGCTTTGGCGTCTTTTGAACAGTAGAGGGCGCTATAGCATAACTGAATTTCAGAGATGATCTGCAACTTATTTAAGACAGATTTAATATATCAATATGTATGTTTTGTGTGTGTGTATGTATGTATATGTATCAACTTATTTAAAATATCAATATATATATGTTTATATCAGTATATTTAGATACATTTAGATATATTTCATTGACAAGAACAGATTCTGGCTTGTAGGGTAGACTTTCAATCCAATTGACATGGATGCCTGTCCACCAGGAGCTGTAAGTTGATGAACTGATTATGTTCCACCAAGTTACTATTGTCTTTTAATGACCATGTAGATCAGGGGTCTTCAAACTCGGCCCTTTTATGACTTGTGGACTTCAACTCCCAGAATTCCTCAGCCAGGCACGTGTTTTTGAGTTACAGTGTTTCTCTCAAGATGAAGTCTCTCTTAAATTGACTCAAATTCTTGGTGACTTCCTAGCCATAACAGATTAACAGAGTTGGAAGGGACCTCAGAGGTCTTCTAGTCCAACCCCCTGCTCAAGCAAAAGACCCTATAGCATTCCGGACAAACGGCTGTCCAATCTCTTCTTGAAAACCTCCCTACGCATGAAGGGATATGGAACCGGTCAGAGACTTTTCTTCCACCTTCCCATCCAGCCCATGGTCGCAAGATTTGCTAGTGATCTATATCCCATCCGGTGTGTGATCTTAATAATAATAATAATAATAATAATAATAATAATAATAATAATAATAATAATAATAATAATAATAATAATAATAATAATAATAAAGTTGGAAGGCACCTTGGAGGTCATCTAGTCCAACCCCCTGCTCAGGCAGGAAACCCTATACCATTTCGGACAAATGGCTGTCCAGTCTCTTCTTAAAAACTTCCAGTGTTGGAGCATTCACCGCTTCTGGAGGCAGGTGGTTCCACTGGTTCATTGTTCTCACTGTCAATTGTTCTCACTTTCTCCTTAGTTCTAGGTTGCTTCTCTCCTTGATTTTAGTTTCCCCCCGTTGCTTCTTGTCCTGCCTTCAGGCGCTTTGGAGAATAGCTTGACTCCCTCTTCTTTGGGGCAGCCCCTGAGATATTGGAAGACTGCCATCATGTCCCCCCCTCATCCTTCTCTTCATTAAACTGGACATACCCAATTCCAGCAACCGTTCTTTATATGTTTTAGCCTCCAGTCCCCTAATCATCTTGGTTGCTCTTCTCTGCACTCTTTCTAGAGTCTCAACATCTTTTTTACGTCGTGGTGACCAAGATTCCTTAAATCTTTTTTTTCCCCCACTCTGCCACTGCCCATTAAAATCTTCCACTACGCTCTCAAATGAACTCAAATGTTTTTTTGCCCTCCCTTTGCTTTATGTCAGGGGAGGACCGGGGCGGGTGTGGGTGGGTGGGGGAAACGGGGAAAGTGGCGCTTCCAGGAAGGGGGGAGAGGAAGAAATTAAATTCTGCCTGCCTGCATTGATTTCACGCTACCAAGCTGGCAGAACAGAAGCAGCCAGCTGTAATTGTGTCCTGGGAAAACCCGATTCAACTTTATGCCGTGCTCCTGTTCAGGAAGGAAGGTGGCTCTGGAGCCTTTTTATGTTAAAAAGGGAAGAACTCTCCCCCCGTCATTATACTTCCAGTCGCATTTGATTCTTCCCTCAGCTGTTCTTCCTTCCCGCCTTCCTTCAGGCATGACATTAAATTTGTCCCTCATATAAAAATAAAAAAGGAAAGGAAAGGAAAGCAGCTTGCCTGTGGCTCAGCTGCCCATTTTTACTTAGGGCTCAGAGAGGAGAGACTTTTGGGCTATCTGGTTTGAACACAACTGGCCAGCAAAACTTTAGCTTTTTTTTTGTTTTAAAAAAATCAAGGTTCTAGTCTTCATGATTATGAAGATCAACCGGGAATGGAAGAAACTCAACTAATAATAATAATAATAATAATAATAATAATAATAATGATGATGATGATGATGATGATGATGATGATAATAATAATAAAGTTGGAAGGGACCTTGGAGGTCATCTAGTCCAACCCCCTGCTCAGGCAGGAAACTCTATCCCATTTCAGACAAATGGCTGTCCAGTCTCTTCTTAAAAACTTCCAGTGTTGGAGCATTCACCGCTTCTGGAGGCAGGTTGTTCCACTGGTTAATTGTTCTCACTGTCAGGAAGTTTCTCCTTAGTTCCAGGTTGCTTCTCTCCTTGATCAGTTTCCATCCGTTGCTTCTTGTCCTGCCTTCAGGTGCTTTGGAGAATAGCTTGACTCCCTCTTCTTTGGGGCAGCCCCTGAGATATTGGAACACTGCTATCATGTCCCCCCTCGTCCTTCTCTTCATTAAACTAGACATACCCAATTCCAGCAACTGTTCCTTATATGTTTTAGCCTCCAGTCCCCTAATCATCTTTGTTGCTCTTCTCTGCACTCTTTCGAGAGTCTCAGCATCTTTTTTACATCGTGGTACTTGATACTTGACTCATGTATAAGACAAGACGTATAAGAAGCTCTTACGAGGGAATTAGCTCTGTCCTAAACGAAAAGAAGGATTAGGGGGGACATGATCACTGTCTTCCAGTATTTGAGGGTCTGTCACAGAGAAGAGGGGCCTGGCTCTTTTCCCAAGCACAAGAGGGCAGGACAAGGAGTAATGGGGGGGAACCTGTTAAAGAGAGATTTAACCAAGAAGTAAGGAGAAATTTTCAGACAGGGAGAACAATTAATCAGTGGAATAGCTTGCCTCCCAGAGCAATGGGTGCTCCATCCCTGCAGGTTTTCAAGAGAAGATGGGACAGCCGTTCATCCAAGATGGAATAGGGTCTCCTGCCTTGAGCAAAGGGTTGGACTAGAAGACCTCTGAGGTCCCTTTCCAGCCTTTGATTCCCTCTCCTATGCCCTAATCCTGTCCAACCGGCTAAAAAGCCTCCTACTCTGATTAACAGTCATTATTTTTCCCTCAATATCACGCTCCGGCGATTAGGTTTATTTTCACACGGTCACTGATCCCTTTTGAAGAGAGGTCACAGGAATCGAACCCGGGACCTTCCCCGCGTGGAAAGCCGAAAGCCTTGTTGTTGAGCTGGGGTCCTGCTTTGACATTTCTGCCTGCATTTTTATTTTCAGCCTCTCAGTGTAGGTACGCTTCCACTCAGAACTGTCTTGCTTCAATGGTTAAAGCAGTCAGCTTGCTTAAACTACGGAGTTTGGTCGACGGGGCTAAGTGTGACTTAGCGTGTGTGCGTTTTGCAGCATGGGTGTGTTTGTGTGTGTGTGTGTGTTTAACAGCAAGTTTCTAATTCTTGAGGCACTAGCTCTTGAACGTGAAGCCAGCCCCCCCCCACCATCTCCCCATGGTTCCAGAGATAAGGAGATTTGGCCGAGATTTAGCATCCCCAGACAGGGCGACATCTTCAAATGCAATCTTGAAATACGGCTGCTTTCTCTTTAAAACACTTTTTTGCATCTTGTTTTAAGCTGCAAGAGATGGAAGAGCCAAGACTGATATTAATAAATTAGGATAAGGGGCAATGTCAGTATCAGTTAATGAGTCATTAATTAGGGCCATTCAATTTCCTAGGACAGATCTCCACGGGAATAATGTGCTGGCGGGGAGCAGGGAGGGGAGGGGGGGGCATAGCCCGTTCCGTAGGCTTCCTCCCGTCCTGCAGGGAGTAAGAAGCTAAAATATCTGATATTTCTGCATCTAGATGTAGCAGGGAAACGATCCCACTTCCTTTCAGATGTTTCGGAACTACAGGCCCCCAGAATTTCTTGCTGTCTGGGTATGATCGGATCTGAAGCCTAGAAGAGCACTTGTGTTAGGGCATATTGTAAAAAAAATACTGAGACTCTGGAAAGATTGCAGAGAAGAGCAACAAAGATGATTAGGAGGCTAAAACATATGAAGAACGGTGGCAGGAATTGGGTCTGTCTAGTCTAAGGAAAAGAAGGACTCCAGGTGACATGACAGCAGTGTTCCAATATTTGAGGGGCTGCCACAAAGAAGATGGGTGTGT